GAGTCTGTGGGTCTCTGTGGTGAGTATGTGGGTCTCTGTATGGTGAGTCTGTGGGTCTCTGTATGGTGAGTCTGTGGGTCTCTATGTGGTGAGTCTGGGGGTCTCTGTATGGTGAGTCTGTGGGTCTCTGTATGGTGAGTCTGTGGGTCTCTGTGTGGTGAGTCTGTGGGTACTCTCTGTGATGAGTCTGTGGGTCTCTGTATGGTGAGTCTGTGGGTCTCTGTGGTGAGTCTGTGGGTCTCTGTATGGTGAGTCTGTGGGTCTCTGTGATGAGTCTGTGGGTCCCTGTGATGAGTCTGGGTCTCTGTATGGTGAGTCTGTGGGTCTCTGCGGTGAGTCTGTGGGTCTCTGTATGGTGAGTCTGTGGGTCTCTATGTGGTGAGTCTGGGGGCTCTGTGTGGTTAGTCTGTGGGTCTCTCTATGATGAGTCTGTGGGTCTCTCTGTGATGAGTCTCTGGGTCTCTATGTGTTGAGTCTGGGGGTCTCTGTATGGTGAGTCTGTGGGTCTCTGTATGGTGAGTCTGTGGGTCTCAGTGTGGTGAGTCTATGGGTCTCTGTATGGTGAGTCTGTGGGTCTCTGTATGGTGAGTCTGTGGGTCTTTGTATGGTGAGTCTGTGGGTCTCTGTATGGTGAGTCTGTGGGTCTCTCTGTGATGAGTCTGTGGGTCTCTGTGATGAGTCTCTGGGTCTCTGTGGTGAGTCTGTGGGTCTCTGTATGGCGAGTCTGTGGGTCTCTGTATGGTGAGTATGTGGGTCTCTGTATGGTGAGTCTGTGGGTCTCTGTGGTGAGTCTGTGGGTCTCTGTATGGTGAGTCTGTGGGTTTCTGTATGGCGAGTCTTTGGGTCTCTCTGTGATGAGTCTGTGGGTCTCTGTGATGAGTCTCTGGGTCTCTCTGTGATGAGTCTGTGGGTCTCTCTGTGATGAGTCTGTGGGTCTCTGTGATGAGTCTCTGGGTCTCTCTGTGGTGAGTCTCTGGGTCTCTCTGTGGTGAGTCTGTGGGCCTCTCTGTGATGAGTCTGCGGGTCTCTGCGTGATCAGATGCTGGACCAGCTTGGGTCAGACGAGTGGACGAACACGACCTGAACACCGCAGTGCTGGCTGGGCAAAACCCTCCAGAGGTGCTGGGAGAGAGACTCGGGGGGAGCCACTCCAGGGACAAATTTTAATCTCAAATCTCAAGAGGCCACAATATAACGCGTTCACCATTTTGATTTAACTCCCCGCGCCAATCATCACCACCACCGCCGCTTCTGATTCGAGTACTCACACCCAGGTACTTACGCGGGTACTCTCACACACACACACACAGGTGTCTACACGTACACACACACAGGTGTGTACACACACACAGGTGTCTACACGTACACACACACAGGTGTGTACACACACACAGGTGTCTACACGTACACACACACAGGTGTGTACACACACACAGGTGTCTACACGTACACACAGGTGTGTACACACACACACACAGGTGTCTACACGTACACACACACAGGTGTGTACACACACACAGGTGTCTACACGTACACACACACAGGTGTGTACACACACACCTGTGTTTACACACACACCTGTGTTTACAGGTAAACACGTGTGTACACACACACGTGTCTACACGTACACAAAGGTGTCTACACGTACACACAGGTGTCTACACGTACACACAGGTGTCTACACGTACACACACACACACCTGTGTTTACAGGTAAACACAGGTGTGTACACACACACAGGTGTCTACACGTACACACAGGTGTGCACACACACACCAGTGTTTACAGGTAAACACAGGTGTGTTCTCTCACACATACACATAGGTGTGTGTACACACACAGGTGTATTCTCTTACACACACACGTACACAAAGGTCCCCTGTATAGCCTTTCACAGACTGCTGGGACAAGTGCTGTTGTTAGCGAGCACCTATGAAGGCTACCGGCACTGTGCCACACAAGGGGGTGTGTGGCCAGCATCACGGCCGGCCGCCTTTGTCTCCCCAGTGACGATGTTGACTACACACCGCACCAGGTACTTATTTGAGGCTGAATCGACTGAGGGGAGGCCCAGGACCGGTTCAGATAATCGCTACCATCGGTGGCGGTGGACGTGAGTGGGAATCGAACTCGATTCTCCGGGTTCGTTGCACAGCGCAAACCACTACACCACCGCTCCCCACACACACACACAGACTCCTACACACACACACAGACTCCTACACACACACACACTCCTACACACACACACACACACTCCTACACACACACACTCCTACACACACACACACAGACTCCTACACACACACACAGACTCCTACACACACACAGACTCCTACACACACACACACACTCCTACACACACACACAGACTCCTACACACACAGACACACACAGACTCCTACACACACAGACACACACAGACTCCTACACACACAGACACACACAGACTCCTACACACACACACACTCCTACACACACACAGACTCCTACACACACACACACACTCCTACACACACACACACTCCTACACACACACACAGACTCCTACACACACACACACTCCTACACACACACACACTCCTACACACACACACACTCCTACACACACACAGACTCCTACACACACACACACACTCCTACACACACACACACTCCTACACACACACACACACTCCTACACACACACACACTCCTACACACACACAGACTCCTACACACACACACAGACTCCTACACACACACACACTCCTACACACACACAGACTCCTACACACACACACACAGACTCCTACACACACACACACTCCTACACACACACACAGACTCCTACACACACACACAGACTCCTACACACACACACAGACTCCTACACACACACAGACTCCTACACACACACAGACTCCTACACACACACACAGACTCCTACACACACACACAGACTCCTACACACACACACACACACTCCTACACACACACACACACTCCTACACACACACACACACTCCTACACACACACACACACACTCCTACACACACACACACACTCCTACACACACACACAGACTCCTACACACACACACACTCCTACACACACACACAGACTCCTACACACACACACACACAGACTCCTACACACACACACACAGACTCCTACACACACACACAGACTCCTACACACACACACACACAGACTCCTACACACACAGACTCCTACACACACACACAGACTCCTACACACACACACAGACTCCTACACACACACACAGACTCCTACACACACACACACACTCCTACACACACACACACTCCTACACACACACACACACAGACTCCTACACACACACACAGACTTCTACACACACACACACACTCCTACACACACACACAGACTCCTACACACACACAGACTCCTACACACACACACAGACTCCTACACACACAGACTCCTACACACACACACACAGACTCCTACACACACACACACAGACTCCTACACACACACACAGACTCCTACACACACACACACACAGACTCCTACACACACACACACAGACTCCTACACACACACACACACTCCTACACACACACACACACTCCTACACACACACACACACTCCTACACACACACACACACAGACTCCTACACACACACAGACTCCTACACACACACACACACACTCCTACACACACACTCCTACACACACACACACACTCCTACACACACACACACACAGACTCCTACACACACACACAGACTCCTACACACACACACACAGACTCCTACACACACACACAGACTCCTACACACACACACACACAGACTCCTACACACACACACACAGACTCCTACACACACACACACTCCTACACACACACACACAGACTCCTACACACACACAGACTCCTACACACACACACAGACTCCTACACACACACACAGACTCCTACACACACACACACACACAGACTCCTACACACACACACACAGACTCCTACACACACACACACTCCTACACACACACACACAGACTCCTACACACACACAGACTCCTACACACACACACAGACTCCTACACACACACACAGACTCCTACACACACACACAGACTCCTACACACACACACACAGACTCCTACACACACACACACACAGACTCCTACACACACACACACAGACTCCTACACACACACACAGACTCCTACACACACACACACACACTCCTACACACACACACACAGACTCCTACACACTCACACACACAGACTCCTACACACTCACACACACAGACTCCTACACACACACACACACACAGACTCCTACACACACACACAGACTCCTACACACACACACACACACAGACTCCTACACACACACACTCCTACACACACAGGTACACACACAAAGGGTGCGTACACAGACACACACAGGTACACACACGCGGTGTGTACACACATCCGTGCACACACATTCACATACACAGGTACACACACAATCTGTGAACACACACACACTGGCACGTACACACACACACAGTGTACACGATTGTGTACGAATTACACGCGCACACACGCACGCACAGTGTTACCTATGTAATCATAATATACAGATCATCGTCACCACCATCACCACCATAAACAACCACCATCATCCCAGCCACGGAGAGGCTGCAAAGAGGTGCGCCTAAGATGTTACTCGCCCCATTTAATTAAAAACCCACCACCTCCTCCCTCTCCACCACCATCACCACCACCTCCACCACCTCCACCTCCTCCCTCTCCACCACCATCACCACCTCCTCCCTCTCCACCACCACCTCCTCCCTCTCCACCTCCATCACCACCTGCACCTCCACCTTCCTCCACCTCCATCACCACCACCACCACCTCCCTCTCCACCACCACCACCATCACCACCACCACCTCCTCCCTTCACCTCCATGATCACCGCCACCACCACCTCCTCCCTCTCCACCACCACCACCACCTCCTCCCTTCACCTCCATGATCACCGCCACCACCGCCACCACCACCACCGCCAACCTCCTCCGCCACCACCATCAGAGCCTGCAGAGGCAGAAGAGCGTGGGGATGAAGACCCCGAAGGCGACGAGGATGGGGAACATGAGGCTGGAGTTGTCGGCTGCGTAGGGGTCCGGGACACGCGGCCCGGACTTCAGTCTCTGCCTGTCACCTCCTCCACCTCCTCCTCCACCTCCACCTCCTCCTCCTCCACCTCCTCCACCTCCTCGCCCCGCCTCCCCCTTCCCCTCCCCACCGCCCCTCTTCTTCCTCCTCCCCGCCGTGGATTTCCTGCCGTCCACCGCCGCCTCCTGCCCCTCTCCTCGCCCGGCTCCCCCCTCCTCCTCCTCGCGCTCCTCCGCCTCCCCCTCCTCTTCCCCCCCTCCCCCTCCTCCTCTTCCTCCTCCTCCTCCTCTTCCTCCTCCTCTTCGGCGTCCTCGTCATTCGGTTTTGAGGGGGGGCGCAGCCCGGGGTGTGGGGGGAGCTGCGGGCCGTCTGGGGGGGGGGCAGGGGGGGGGGGGCAACACCCGAAAATCCACAGCGGGACGAGGAAGGAGATGTTGACTACCTCGCCTGGTTTACAGGAGGTCGTGGGTTAGATCCTGACACCACAGTGGCTAGGAGATGTTGACTACCTTGCCTGGTATACAGGAGGTCGTGGGTTAGATCCTGACACCACAGTGGCTAGGAGATGTTGACTACCTCGCCTGGTTTACAGGAGGTCGTGGGTTAGATCCTGACACCACAGTGGCTAGGAGATGTTGACTACCTCGCCTGGTCTACAGGAGGTCGTGGGTTAGATCCTGACACCACAGTGGCTAGGAGATGTTGACTACCTCGCCTGGTTTACAGGAGGTCGTGGGTTAGATCCTGACACCACAGTGGCTAGGAGATGTTGACTACCTCGCCTGGTATACAGGAGGTCGTGGGTTAGATCCTGACCCTGACACCACAGTGGCTAGGAGATGTTGACTACCTCGCCTGGTTTACAGGAGGTCGTGGGTTAGATCCTGACACCACAGTGGCTAGGAGATGTTGACTACCTTGCCTGGTATACAGGAGGTCGTGGGTTAGATCCTGACACCACAGTGGCTAGGAGATGTTGACTACCTCGCCTGGTTTACAGGAGGTCGTGGGTTAGATCCTGACACCACAGTGGCTAGGAGATGTTGACTACCTCGCCTGGTCTACAGGAGGTCGTGGGTTAGATCCTGACACCACAGTGGCTAGGAGATGTTGACTACCTCGCCTGGTATACAGGAGGTCGTGGGTTAGATCCTGACCCTGACACCACAGTGGCTAGGAGATGTTGACTACCTCGCCTGGTCTACAGGAGGTCGTGGGTTAGATCCTGACCCTGACACCACAGTGGCTAGGAGATGTTGACTACCTCGCCTGGTCTACAGGAGGTCGTGGGTTAGATCCTGACCCTGACACCACAGTGGCTAGGAGATGTTGACTACCTCGCCTGGTCTACAGGAGGTCGTGGGTTAGATCCTGACACCACAGTGGCTAGGAGATGTTGACTACCTCGCCTGGTCTACAGGAGGTCGTGGGTTAGATCCTGACACCACAGTGGCTAGGAGATGTTGACTACCTCGCCTGGTCTACAGGAGGTCGTGGGTTAGATCCTGACTCTGACACCACAGTGGCTAGGAGATGTTGACTACCTCGCCTGGTCTACAGGAGGTCGTGGGTTAGATCCTGACACCACAGTGGCTAGGAGATGTTGACTACCTCGCCTGGTCTACAGGAGGTCGTGGGTTAGATCCTGACACCACAGTGGCTAGGAGATGTTGACTACCTCGCCTGGTCTACAGGAGGTCGTGGGTTAGATCCTGACACCACAGTGGCTAGGAGATGTTGACTACCTCGCCTGGTCTACAGGAGGTCGTGGGTTAGATCCTGACACCACAGTGGCTAGGAGATGTTGACTACCTCGCCTGGTATACAGGAGGTCGTGGGTTAGATCCTGACACCAGTGGCTAGGAGATGTTGACTACCTCGCCTGGTCTACAGGAGGTCGTGGGTTAGATCCTGACCCTGACACCACAGTGGCTAGGAGATGTTGACTACCTCGCCTGGTCTACAGGAGGTCGTGGGTTAGATCCTGACACCACAGTGGCTAGGAGATGTTGACTACCTCGCCTGTTCTACAGGAGGCCGTGGGTTAGATCCTGACACCACAGTGGCTAGGAGATGTTGACTACCTCGCCTGGTCTACAGGAGGTCGTGGGTTAGATCCTGACACCACAGTGGCTAGGAGATGTTGACTACCTCGCCTGGTCTACAGGAGGTCGTGGGTTAGATCCTGACACCACAGTGGCTAGGAGATGTTGACTACCTCGCCTGGTCTACAGGAGGTCGTGGGTTAGATCCTGACACCACAGTGGCTAGGAGATGTTGACTACCTCGCCTGGTCTACAGGAGGTCGTGGGTTAGATCCTGACACCACAGTGGCTAGGAGATGTTGACTACCTCGCCTGGTATACAGGAGGTCGTGGGTTAGATCCTGACACCAGTGGCTAGGAGATGTTGACTACCTCGCCTGGTCTACAGGAGGTCGTGGGTTAGATCCTGACCCTGACACCACAGTGGCTAGGAGATGTTGACTACCTCGCCTGGTCTACAGGAGGTCGTGGGTTAGATCCTGACACCACAGTGGCTAGGAGATGTTGACTACCTCGCCTGGTATACAGGAGGTCGTGGGTTAGATCCTGACACCACAGTGGCTAGGAGATGTTGACTACCTCGCCTGGTCTACAGGAGGTCGTGGGTTAGATCCTGACCATAACACCACAGTGACTAGGAGATGTTAACTACCTCGCCTGGTCTACAGGAGGTCGTGGGTTAGATCCTGACACCACAGTGGCTAGGAGATGTTGACTACCTCGCCTGGTCTACAGGAGGTCGTGGGTTAGATCCTGACACCACAGTGGCTAGGAGATGTTGACTACCTCGCCTGGTATACAGGAGGTCGTGGGTTAGATCCTGACACCAGTGGCTAGGAGATGTTGACTACCTCGCCTGGTCTACAGGAGGTCGTGGGTTAGATCCTGACCCTGACACCACAGTGGCTAGGAGATGTTGACTACCTCGCCTGGTATACAGGAGGTCGTGGGTTAGATCCTGACACCACAGTGGCTAGGAGATGTTGACTACCTCGCCTGGTCTACAGGAGGTCGTGGGTTAGATCCTGACACCACAGTGGCTAGGAGATGTTGACTACCTCGCCTGGTCTACAGGAGGTCGTGGGTTAGATCCTGACACCACAGTGGCTAGGAGATGTTGACTACCTCGCCTGGTCTACAGGAGGTCGTGGGTTAGATCCTGACACCACAGTGGCTAGGAGATGTTGACTACCTCGCCTGGTATACAGGAGGTCGTGGGTTAGATCCTGACACCAGTGGCTAGGAGATGTTGACTACCTCGCCTGGTCTACAGGAGGTCGTGGGTTAGATCCTGACCCTGACACCACAGTGGCTAGGAGATGTTGACTACCTCGCCTGGTCTACAGGAGGTCGTGGGTTAGATCCTGACACCACAGTGGCTAGGAGATGTTGACTACCTCGCCTGGTATACAGGAGGTCGTGGGTTAGATCCTGACACCACAGTGGCTAGGAGATGTTGACTACCTCGCCTGGTCTACAGGAGGTCGTGGGTTAGATCCTGACTCTGACACCACAGTGGCTAGGAGATGTTGACTACCTCGCCTGGTCTACAGGAGGTCGTGGGTTAGATCCTGACACCACAGTGGCTAGGAGATGTTGACTACCTCGCCTGGTCTACAGGAGGTCGTGGGTTAGATCCTGACACCACAGTGGCTAGGAGATGTTGACTACCTCGCCTGGTCTACAGGAGGTCGTGGGTTAGATCCTGACACCACAGTGGCTAGGAGATGTTGACTACCTCGCCTGGTCTACAGGAGGTCGTGGGTTAGATCCTGACACCACAGTGGCTAGGAGATGTTGACTACCTCGCCTGGTATACAGGAGGTCGTGGGTTAGATCCTGACACCAGTGGCTAGGAGATGTTGACTACCTCGCCTGGTCTACAGGAGGTCGTGGGTTAGATCCTGACCCTGACACCACAGTGGCTAGGAGATGTTGACTACCTCGCCTGGTCTACAGGAGGTCGTGGGTTAGATCCTGACACCACAGTGGCTAGGAGATGTTGACTACCTCGCCTGTTCTACAGGAGGCCGTGGGTTAGATCCTGACACCACAGTGGCTAGGAGATGTTGACTACCTCGCCTGGTCTACAGGAGGTCGTGGGTTAGATCCTGACACCACAGTGGCTAGGAGATGTTGACTACCTCGCCTGGTCTACAGGAGGTCGTGGGTTAGATCCTGACACCACAGTGGCTAGGAGATGTTGACTACCTCGCCTGGTCTACAGGAGGTCGTGGGTTAGATCCTGACACCACAGTGGCTAGGAGATGTTGACTACCTCGCCTGGTCTACAGGAGGTCGTGGGTTAGATCCTGACACCACAGTGGCTAGGAGATGTTGACTACCTCGCCTGGTATACAGGAGGTCGTGGGTTAGATCCTGACACCAGTGGCTAGGAGATGTTGACTACCTCGCCTGGTCTACAGGAGGTCGTGGGTTAGATCCAGACCCTGACACCACAGTGGCTAGGAGATGTTGACTACCTCGCCTGGTCTACAGGAGGTCGTGGGTTAGATCCTGACACCACAGTGGCTAGGAGATGTTGACTACCTCGCCTGGTATACAGGAGGTCGTGGGTTAGATCCTGACACCACAGTGGCTAGGAGATGTTGACTACCTCGCCTGGTCTACAGGAGGTCGTGGGTTAGATCCTGACCATAACACCACAGTGACTAGGAGATGTTAACTACCTCGCCTGGTCTACAGGAGGTCGTGGGTTAGATCCTGACACCACAGTGGCTAGGAGATGTTGACTACCTCGCCTGGTCTACAGGAGGTCGTGGGTTAGATCCTGACACCACAGTGGCTAGGAGATGTTGACTACCTCGCCTGGTATACAGGAGGTCGTGGGTTAGATCCTGACACCAGTGGCTAGGAGATGTTGACTACCTCGCCTGGTCTACAGGAGGTCGTGGGTTAGATCCTGATCCTGACACCACAGTGGCTAGGAGATGTTGACTACCTCGCCAGGTGTACAGGAGGTCGTGGGTTAGATCCTGACACCACAGTGGCTAGGAGATGTTGACTACCTCGCCTGGTCTACAGGAGGTCGTGGGTTAGATCCTGATCCTGACACCACAGTGGCTAGGAGATGTTGACTACCTCGCCTGGTCTACAGGAGGTCGTGGGTTAGATCCTGACCCTGACACCACAGTGGCTAGGAGATGTTGACTACCTCGCCTGGTATACAGGAGGTCGTGGGTTAGATCCTGACACCAGTGGCTAGGAGATGTTGACTACCTCGCCTGGTCTACAGGAGGTCGTGGGTTAGATCCTGACCCTGACACCACAGTGGCTAGGAGATGTTGACTACCTCGCCTGGTC